TACAGCGTGTCTTGTTATTAGCTATAAGTTGATTTAAGTAAAAGAGTTCGATCGATTTACTGACTGGTTTATCTTTTATGGCTTAGAATGTAAGGCCGTTGATAATGATGAGGATCTAATTATTTATTCACATTAACCCAACTGCCGGTAAGAAATGAAATCTTACGTTTTGTTCCTCCACAGTAACCATACAGTTTATCTTTATCGTAACTTGAAGTAAGTGAACACCATGGTCGCCTGGATCGAACTCTGGTGCAGCTGTTGTATCGTCTGCCCCGGTAGATGAAGGGAAATACACAGCAGTCACTGCGAGAGGTTCGAGTACGGCAAGAACCTGAAGAACCCCAACAAAGTAACTGTCACATCATTCCTTTTAAAAAGGCTACTTGTGAAATTACCAGAGCGTTTGTAGATGAAAGGAGAGTGGGACGTTGACCGACCGTTGACTGATTTAACCCCGTAAGTCACAGACTAACATCAATTTTCTCTTAACAATATCAATGCATATTCAAGAGAAAAGGTTATGAGAATTAATATAATGATCACCAAAGGGCAAATGCTTTGATATTTAAATAAATTCTCTCAACTAGTTCTTCAAGGAAATGTATGGAGATCAGTATGGAGAATTTTATAATTATAAGTGAAAATTGCTGGGGCATAAAAGGTTTAACTAAGTAATGCAAAAGTTAAGAAAAAACGGAGTACCCGGATACTTCCCAAAGCGAAACGAATACTCCTTGAATAAAAAGTAAAAAAATTATGCAATAAAGTAAACGTTGCTGTAGGAACTATTTTTACGTCTTAAAAGGTAAACATCATTTGCCCAAGGTCCTCCTTTGCCATTTCTGCACCTGTTGGATTTTCCATATGTCCTGTATGTTCGGTAACCAGTACGCGATGCTGCACACCATCCCCCGTGTTGCACTGCGAACAATTTATAGCCTCGTTTGTATGCAGCTAAAGCACACTTTCGTACCGCATCTTGTCTTCGTCGGTAGTGACCTTTTAGCAGACGACTTCTTCCCTCCATTGTGGCTATAGCTCGGCGCTTTGTGTCTCTGTAGCAGCCCAGTCCTTGGGCTAAAATGTGAACAAGAGGAGTTGAGCAACTACAACCCGATAATTAGATACAAAAAGACATATCCTTTTAACGATGAATGCGATCTGTCGATCTGGTGTCATTAATTACATTACACTCTGTTTCATTCCCTTTTCAAGAACTGGAGTTAGTGCCAACTTGAAGTAAACAAAAAGCAAGTATGAATGTAAACGCTTGAAATCATTGCTCAGAAGTGACTAAATTGTACCTTCTGTCGCCACACAGTCTGAACGCCTTGAGCAGTGAGGCTAAAACGTTCACTGCATTAATCACGTTACAATCAGGACAATTGTCAGTTATAGCCAAATTGTTGTCATGGGACAGAANACCGCATCTTGTCTTCGTCGGTAGTGACCTTTTAGCAGACGACTTCTTCCCTCCATTGTGGCTATAGCTCGGCGCTTTGTGTCTCTGTAGCAGCCCAGTCCTTGGGCTAAAATGTGAACAAGAGGAGTTGAGCAACTACAACCCGATAATTAGATACAAAAAGACATATCCTTTTAACGATGAATGCGATCTGTCGATCTGGTGTCATTAATTACATTACACTCTGTTTCATTCCCTTTTCAAGAACTGGAGTTAGTGCCAACTTGAAGTAAACAAAAAGCAAGTATGAATGTAAACGCTTGAAATCATTGCTCAGAAGTGACTAAATTGTACCTTCTGTCGCCACACAGTCTGAACGCCTTGAGCAGTGAGGCTAAAACGTTCACTGCATTAATCACGTTACAATCAGGACAATTGTCAGTTATAGCCAAATTGTTGTCATGGGACAGAAAGAAACACAATACACCACTGAGCAAAAGATGATCCAAAAATGTTTTTATTTTTGCATCTTCTTTGCAATTCTCTTTTGTTAGGTTGCATCGCAAGAACGAGTACATTTGCAGTACCGGCTACGCTCAGATCCTGCGCCACGGACTGTAAAAATATGCGCACTATTTTAGCAGAACTGGAATAGGCCATTTCCTAGTTAACTGCGCCCCTGTATCAAAACAAGGTTAAGTGCTCAGCCTTTGATATGGAAATGATTTTTCATTCTTATGCAAATAAAACTCATTTTCACAAGAAAGGTTGTGTGCACTTGGCCTCATTTTGAAAAGAGGGTTTCTGGAACTCGGAAGTGGCCTATTTACAGAACCTTAACTTTGAAAGCCACCAGTTTTCTTGAAACTCGGAAGATAGTTGGCACAATAACCAGTAAAACTCACCTTTTAATCCAACGGTGACGCGAATAACCCGCGCTAGACGAAAACAAAAAAAGATGGTTCGTAAGTACATAAATTCAAGCATGATTGTTTAAGTCAGTTCTATAACAGAACGCAAACAAGGATAGCACAAATCAAGCTAAAGCAAATTTTAAAGGGGTATAACTGAAGACGGATGACTTTTCTCTGTGAACAAATTTGCATTATTTTAAAGTTGGCCAACTACGTAGAAGCACCAACAATTAATACACCTGCTTATCATGTGGGTACATATGTTCGCGTTCATGATGTGGGTCTGGTTCACAAATGTATGTTGCTTAAGTTTTAAAAAACGACAACTGACCTCTTGGAGGAGGAACAACCGGCCTCACTGGGCGAACTGGTTTGCGACCTTCAAAAGAAGAGACAGGTATTAGTTTCCACATTAACAGTTCCGTGTGGAAATCTTTCAAAATCAACCAAATATGAGGAAGAATTTCTTACGATAACAATTGCCCCATTTCTTGTCGCGATCGTAGTTGGGTGTCAAGGCGCACCGAGGTCGATTGTGTTTTCTTCTGGTACAACTGTAATAACGACGACCTTTGTAGATGAACGGGAAGGCACAGCAATAACGTGATGTTGTTTTTCTTCGACATTTGCCTGTAAAGGAAAAGGAAATATGCGTTAAGGCAATAGGCCTGCTAGTCGCCGTAGCATGAAACAAAAGAAAAAACCATAGCAACAACAACCTGATAAGGTTGAATCAAATTAACAGAATATAAATAAAAATTATAATAAATTGCTAGCAACAAAAGAGGGCAAGTTACTCTGATAGACTGTGCGCATGATTAAGACTTAACTGTCTTCAGTCGAGGAAAAACAAATGTGCGCCAGTTGAGTTATTATACTTGCATAACTATCCGATCACTGGCTCAAATTAATAATGGAGATATTTATCACACCCGATATACTGTAAACGTCATTTGCCCACGGGCCTCCTTTGCCGTTTCTGCATCGTCTTGAAGGTCCGTACTTCCGATAGGTCACGTGTGCTCTTGGACCTGTTGCACACCATCCCTGGTGTTGTACAGCAAAGACTTTGTAGCCTCGCCTTGCGGCTACCAAAGCGCATTTCTTGATAGCGTCGAGTCTGCGTCGATAGAAGTCCCGGACGAGAATATCTTTTCCATCCATTTGTGGGATGGCACGTCGGCTGGTGTCTTTGTGGCAACCAAGAGGCTTGACTACAGATTTAAAGAGCTAGGTGTGAGTAAGAAGTAGGGCCCTTTCGGATGTAGAAGAGTAAATAACAATTAAATTAAGTAACAATTTTTCCATTGACGAATAACTAGGGAGTTTTCATTTAAACAGCCAAGGGCTTGTACAAAAACTGACCGACTTAAAAATTTAAATAGACCACTACAAAAAAAGACATACACACACACGCACACACCCATACACCAACACGCGCACAGTAAAAAAAAAACAAAGTTTTTACATACCGGTAATTGGCATTTATAATGACTTATAATTTTTATTAATGATTTCAGTGGTTGTTGGTCTAGATTTTGTAGTAGCTGTTTTTAGTTCGCTTCTTAACCTTTTCAACAAGGTTGAATCGGTAGGTGTATTAGCACCAGGCTTTAAACATAAAATGCTCTAACATAAAAGTTCTTGTGAATAAAAGGGAGTAAACCGTTTCCATGGTTACTCGCTGATAATCCATGCCGTAAAAATTCTGTTGGCCAGAGCCTCTTTAGAACCTCTAATTTGATAGTTTCTTGTTGGCCCGAAGCTCTATTGTTTCAGAGCTGGGGTTCATTGTTAGTTTTGTTTGCGTTAGGGCTATCTTTTTCTGTCTAAACCAATCCTGTGAACCGTTCTTAGAGCTTGTAATATTTTTTATCCTTTTTTTAGGATATTTTTGTATTAGCTTAGTTAGGACTAGTTTTAAGCATTTTTAACATATTTTTATATTTTTTTAATCTAGGGCCTCTAAGAATATCAGTTTTTGTAACTGTAGGAGTTACCCTAGCTAAATAAAAGTATCTTCTTCTTCTTCTTCTTCTTCCGGCCCACCCTAAAAATTAAGGCGTACACCACCCGGAATTCCCATTCTAAGCGCGCAAGTGCGTGGTGGAGCTAGCAGATACATAAATTTCAAAAAAGGCGTTGCGAACTAAAAAAAGAGTCAAAAATCATTAAAACAGGAAAAAAGATTACCAGTGATTCCATAGGTCACTCTAATGGGCGGAGCTGAAGAAAAAAAAGATAGATAATTAAATAGAGGTTGATGTTAATGTTACAACATAAAAATAGCACCAGTCAGCAGGTTTACAACTTTGGGACTAACGTCAGCTTTTCACCAGGAGAGGCTAAGGGTCTACAGAAATTGCGGTTGCATACTTACATCTCTTTCCCCGGCAGTACCCCCAACGTTGCCCTTTTTTGTAACCTGGGACGACGGGACACCAAGGCCTGCTACTTCCTCTACTGGTGCAAGAGCGGTACTTGCGCCTGAGATAAACGAACGGGAACACGCAACAGTTTCCCTGAACCGTTCGTTGTGGGCATCTCCCTGTGGAAAGAATTGAATTTATTTTGTGATGTAGCAAATTCAGTTTAGCTTGATAATTAGTACAACTTTGTCTATTTTTTGATTCTTTTAACGATAAAATTTTTTATCCAAAGTCTTTTCTAAGAGTCAATAAGATTTAAGGTAATTCCCTTGAAATTGTTCTACTATCAAACTTTTTTTGAAACTTGGCATAATCAACATTCATGATATGAACATTAAAAAAATGCAATAAAAAGATGGGGTCACCGAGCTTGTTTACTCGTCAGCAGGCTCTTAAACTGGGGTATTTTTACTGGTTGCGCGTTAAAAATTCGAATCCCCTTCTTACAGAATTAAGCCGTTGTTACTTGAAACGCACAAAATTTTATCTTGAACATAACGCTTCTTTTATTCAAATAAGNACAAAAACAGCCCCCGCTTCTCAAAAACACCCCCCCGTCCCGATAAACCCCCCCCCCCCATAAATTGGTTTGAAAAAAATAAAACTTTACGGGGGGGGGGGGGGGGGGGGGGGGTCTAACAGAGGATTTACAGTATGCGGATGTGTATGTAGGGATGTGATTGTAGGTGTACTGGTCAGGAGTTCATAACCCAGAGCAAGCAACTCCCATACTCGTCCTATGTCACGGCATTTTTACGGAACACTTTATTGGATTATTAGATACATTTATTCAGTATTGATTTCAATTATAGAAAGGAACACGCAGACTAGGTTTTGATACTAAAATCAAGGTACTCTGTCTTTTTTTTTTTATGTGGCGCCCTATGGGTGTGATAGCAAAATACACCGAGACGCTTAAATCATTGTTATTGTCTTGCCAGCGCAGAAAAAGTGTTTGAAGAATTGATATCCTATTCACCAAAATTGCTTTTGGTATTTTTACCGGCTACTAGTACTTAGCCGGCGGCTATAAGTGGTTTTGTTAAATTGAATTGGAATGGTAACATACGTCAGGGACGATTTTCCTCTACTTATTTATTCAATATATCATTCTTATTAGCTCTTATTGTTAAGATAGCCAGAAAGAACAGAGGAGAAATAAGAAGTCGAATGAATGGTCAAACATGTAGACCAACAGAAAAGCATCCAAATCATTTAGAAGCGAAATTTAGGTTTTGGGAATGATGAATGGGTGAAACAAAAAAACCTATTTTCGTGGAAACGTTCTCAGAGAAATATTACAGTATTATAATTGTTCATTTTCCATACGATAATGTTTCATTGAAAACACTACTTTAAACAAGCGAAGTGTGTTCAAATGACTGAATTGTTAAGTAAAAATATAAAGACTTGTTCACTGAAAAAATAGTTTCAAAAAAGTAACATGGGGACATGGGGAGAGAATACTGAAGAAAGTCCAGTGCGCGCGTATTTGAAATTGTTTCATTTATTTATAGTGCCGGTGCATTAACAACGCTGTATCAATTAACATTAAATCGGGGAAACCATGATTTCTCTATAGCCGTGTCTGTCACGAGTCATTGTCTGCCGGATGTTCTTCAAGCTTTTTCTCCATTTTTAAGCACTTTGTTTTGTTGCTTCCTGATATGAGTGGTCTGCGGTAATTGCTGACTACTTCCATTGGCCGTCACGTGACTAATGTTCCTTCCCCTCAAGTAAATTCTTTTCGAGCAGAGAATACACTGTTACAAAATGATGAAAATAATAGCTTTAGTTAAAACATTAATCTAAAAATTTGGCATACATCTGTCAGAAGAAAGCACTCACTAAAAAAAACCGTTCAGTACGTGATGACTTTTTTTATACAATTAAGGTAAGCCGTAAGGTTCCTCCTTTCATGGCTGGATTGTATTTTAAAAGTGCGTTTAGCAATATGTAAATCCATTGTATACTTATTTCAGTATGGATTTAAAACTTGAAACAAGACACAAAAAAGCCTTATAGATGACAGCTTTCCGTTAAAGCACTAAATGTAGGCCCTCAACAAATGTTTGCGACGCCCTAGGCCTAGCACCTCCAAACTTGGTCAAGAAAAACTATAAGCCCAAAATCTTTAACTAATAAGAAGAAAAAGACCTTTTTCAAAACCAACGTTTTCTGCGGACTGAGTTCAGAGTATCTACCTGTGTCCGCGTCAGATTTGTTCCGGCTCTTTTCCCTGGTTGTAAAGGACCAGTAAAAGCTTCACTGAAGGAGAGAAAGAGAATGAAAACTAACGCAGAACGAAATCCAATACTCCTGATCATTTTGCTCGGTATAGGTAGGTGTAACTTCAACCGCTGCGACTAAAATGTGAGAGTTCCGTAAGAATTTATTTATTTCTGTTACCTTGTAGAGCCGCAATTTCCTTTCAATGATGATCCTTAAGTTGTGATATAAAAAAAACAAAAACAAGTAGATTCCTTTGCGCTATTTTCCTTCTATTCTTAACAAATTTTTATCCCATTGTAAACTGCGTTGTTATAAATAGACCTTGATCTTCAACCAAGTTTGTGCGAGGGAACTAAAATGGGATACAGTTTCCCAGAACCTCTTAAAACGTAATTGGCCGCATTAGTTCTATTTACGTTAGCACTGTGTGCGAGGATTCTGTATGAGCAACACCAAAGGCACGAAATAGTGTCAATTGTAACTAAAGGTGTTTGGGCCTATACTGTTACAACCATTATGTCCTATTGCCGACCTGCAGTCGCATTCTCCCGCATTGTGCGCATGCACATTCAGTTGTAACTCTTTACATCCAAAGTAAAGATGCTTAGATTTTATGAAATTGATATGGCTATGGTAATTAAGAATAGTTTTTTTTAACCTTTGAAGTCGTTGGTTTATAGTTCTTTTTTGCGTAGTCATATATGAGTCCAAATAATGACTGTTAACCTAGTTTGTCTTTTCACTTTGGACCAGCCAAGGTCAATTGCCGGAAAGTCAATGAAATGATTGCTTCACTCCTATAGTGAGTGGTTTGCCATTGCCTGTTTTCATTTGCCAAGAACCCAGCCGCGGATGTACAAAAAAGAGCTTTCAAAAGAGATTAGTTTCCTGGTACTCGCTATTTTACCCTTCTTAGATCGGAAAAATACACGGACATGCTCTCACGGAAATAACCCACTAAAAAGATAAAAGATGAAAATGGAAAGGGAGGATATTTTCAAGGAGTAAGCCGGAAGGGGTTAATGGAAGTGATCACGTACAAAGCAACCAACAGTGAATTCACTTGAAGGTACTTGAACTGCTTAGCTACTCTGTTCACTGCATGTAACCTACCTTTGTCCTGAAGTTTTATCTCTCCTTTCTTCGATCATAATTCTCTTGTTTAGTTTTTTTGGGGGATCGCTTTTCTTTTTTCTCGTTCCGACTAATTGCTTTCCTTTCAAGTTTGTTCCCCAGTTGAGGATAGTAGAACAAAGAAAGCCCTTGGAACTAGGATATATGTTACAACTGAAGAACAATTTGAATTATGGATTGGCATTACTATCCAACCCATAGTTCAGTACATTGGAGATACAAAGTGCAGTATTGTCATGTAGATTCTCAGTGCATGGGAGCGATTAAAGTAATAACTATTTGCCGTAGCTTTCACATTGTAATTGATAACTCTATAACTAAAAGCAATACGCACTCTGCAAGCCGGACAGACCTACAGGGAAGTAAACTAAATTGTTGTAGTAAAATCCAACTAGTGGTCTATTAACAATGCTGCATTCTGATTGGTTGAGCTACTACTAGGCTATATGTTATAATAATTAAAAAAATAATAAAAAATTTATAACGCGCCTTTTCCATGCAAATATGATCAAAAGCGCGTGACAACACGTAAATGTTAAAAGAAAATAAAAGCTTAACTGAGCAAAATAATTAAGGCTAATAATAAACAACGCTAAAAATTAAATAAAAGATAAAAAACACTAAATATATTACATAGTACGTTAAAAAATTACATATCAAAAGCTAGTCTAAAAAGATGCGTTTTAAGTAAAGATTTAAAACGTTCAAAATTGTCCTCAAGACGGATGTGAAGGGGCAGATTGTTCCATAAATTAGGGGCAGCACATGAAAAAGCACGATCCCCTAAAGTCTTTTTTCAGTTTTAAACTAGGATACTTTAAGATAAGACCGCTAGCTGAACGGAGATTATAGCGCGGCTGTTCTTTGATAGCAATCAAATCGATCAAGTAACCAGGCGCGTGACCGTAGATAGCTTTAAAAGTAAAAAGATGTAAATTAAAATCAATACGAAATTTGACAGGAAGTCAATGTAACGAACGTAGTACTGGTGTTATGTGACTGTAGCGAGGGACATTAGATATAAGCCGAGCAGCTGCATTCTGCAAGCGTTGCAGTTTAAGTAGATGAACAGAGGGTAAACCAAATAGAAGGCTGTTGCAGTAATCTATACGACCAATGATAAAAGCATGGACCAAAGTTCGTGCAGACTCCTGGGACAGATATTTTCGGATACGTTGAATATTGTATAAATGGAAAAACCCAGATTTACAAGTTTTGTGGATCTGTTCCTGGAGATTCAAGTTAGAATCGAATCATGTCCCTAAATTTCTTGCCACAGTGACAGGAGCAACGTCAATGCTTCCTACAGTAAGGCAATCAATATTTACTTTGGAAAGTTGTTGTTTTGTACCAATCTACATGAACTCAGTTTTGTCATCATTAAGTTTGAGCTTATCCTTAAGCATCCACTTACGAATGTCCGATATACAGCGTTCCATGGCAATGACCGCATCAGTCTGATTAGTTGCCGTGTCAGGACTAAACGACAGGTAAAGCTGAGTGTCATCAGCATAGGCATGAGCTTCAGGTAGATGGTATTTGATGACTTCAAATAGTTTCCTGGAATAAATGGTAAACAACAATGGCCCCTGACACGATCCTTGTGGAACGCCATAAGGAAGCTTAAAACTGTCAGATGTAAAGCCATTTAGCGAGACTCGTTGCGACCTGTTGTTAAGATAAGACGTAAACCAATTAAGGGCGGTGCCATTAATGCCGATACATGACTTAATGCGAGCAAGCACTAATAGCAATAGATGGAACGATGCCGATGTGTTGGAATAATATGCACAAGGACACCTGTAATGCCTGATCCTAGGCCGTCTGAAGAATATAGGATAATTAGCCGGTATATACACCAAACAAGCATTGCTATGATGAGAGGGTGCGATGGTGTTGTTCCAACACCAACAAGACAATGGGTAATCAACTGCAATTCCGTAAGCATTGTTCACAGGCTGGGCCAAGCAACGTAGATTTGTCAGAGTCGGCAATGTAGAGCAAGGTAAAACCGACTTTTTTCTCCGAATTGCTTGAATCCAAACCCGAAATAAGTTGCTTTAGATATTCTCCATCAGGATAAAGACACTGAAAGGGTAGTAGAAAGAGCAAAAAACCGCAGATGGAAACAACACGTCCGCCCTTCATTACATATTCTTCTTTTCGAAGAAATATATAATTCTTCTTTTCTTTATAGCCCACTGGTAGGGAAAAGCGCGGGCTTTTTGGAGGCAAAAAAGGATTAAAGTCTAGCTTTAACTAGCTAAAATTTTTATTCTCGATATTTTTGACCAACTAGTTGGATTTTACTAAAACGATTATTCCTCGAGCCCTCATGGCCTCTGAGTCAATAGCCCATTCAGCCTTCGGCCTCATGGGCTATTGACTCATAGCCCATTCGGGCTCGAGGAATAATTGTTAAATATAGCTGGAGATTTCTTCTCAACAGCGCGCGGTCTCATTGGTTACTTCGAGGTCACATGACATCTAACAATGAAACCGTTTTCCGCCAAAATCTCTGAGCGGGCAACAGTACAAAAATCTATGACGTCAGAGGGTAACGATGCAATGTTACCCGCGAATGTTGACCGTTGACCGCCGTTACAGCGAGGTTTAATGAATTTCCAGCTTCAAAATTTCCAGCTATATAACAAATCACTTAAAGACTGGTCCCTCCGGAAACAGTAAATTTTGTTTCCCTCGTGACCAGTCATTAAGTGTGTAATAATGGTACTGTTTTTTACACATAAAATATCTGGCCTGATAAAAAGTTACATCAAAATTATGATTCTTCAAGTACAAAAAATCTGCGACTTAGCAGAACACAAACACTATTCATCACCGGAGCGCTTTTGTTTAATTGGCTATATAACATGAAGGAACGAGGACGTTTTCCCATACTGGCAGAAGTAGTTTATTGTAAGTGCTACATATCTTCCACGTTGTTAAATGCTCGAAAATGTATTGCCCTGTAGTTAAAAGATATACATACATGTAAACTTAAGCTTAAAGTCATGATTCAGTAGGAGTTAACTGAGCAGAAGCCGGTTACTGATACGTTTCTCTCGCATTAAACGTAACAAGCCCCCTAACAATCACATATTTTCGTCGCCGGATGCTTCCAGTTTTAGATTCCATCCCTGTTTTAAGGCTTTGGCAGTAGATCTAATATCATCCTGGAGCAATCCACCAAATTGGTAAAATGCTCGCCCAACCAAGAACACGCGGTTCTGATTTCCATCCAGCGGTTTCTTGGCCCATTCACGTAGGTCGCTTAAGGAAAAGTTGGTTCCCGGCTTCTGAAAAAACCTACAATAAAATTAAAAATCCGGAAAAGATTTAGAAGCTCTTACAATTGGTAACGCCCCTCTTAGTGTGGCCTATATATCGCAGTTTCATTACCTGACAGCATGGGCAAGACCGTCATGGCCAGGATGTGATTTATCCAGCCGTATATCAAATATAACTGAGTTTAACGCAAGTGCGATTGTGACGGCAATCTGAAAATTTAGCAACTAGTGACCTACTAAGTCGGTAAGTGGGTTTGTTACCTTGTGCCATTATAATTACCTGGGACGTTTCGCCTTAATTTTTTGCTTCTTTCTGATGTCTTTGTCTTGGGAAGGCCCCAGTTGTGGAGGGTCAGGCCGGGGGTTGTGTGGCCGTAATATCCACAATATCTTAAAGCTAAATAATGTTTTTGTATCCCTTATTTAATACCCAATCTTTCTATCAACAACATACTATTTAATAAAGCGAATAATACTCATAATATAGCCTGTAAAGTCGGAGACTTTCTGTATAAGAGGATTGGGCGCTAGCCTTTCTTCTCCTCACCACCACCTCTTCAGTGTAGAGGTCATGAGTTAGTCACAAACACTGATCTTAAGCATACAACGTTCTAGCAGTAGAGAACTACAGAAAAAAAATCTGGTTGATGAGGAGGTGACCGTTTCTTTTCCAGATCAGGCTTACAAGCAATAATTTTCTTGACTTTCTTACCAGAATCCTTCTTCCCAGTATTTGTAAGCAGTATCCAGTGGTTCTGGGATTTCTCTTTGAAACTTGTATTCCAAAGCTCTTTTTATTTCCTTATCAACAGCATCCTTGCTGACCTTCAAGATGTTTCCCCAGTTGTCACTACATCCGCCATTGTTGGCTATGGTATGCAGCACTGCCGTGCCATTGTTATGAGAACTCCTGTAACAAATAAAAGCAATGATGATTCTAGTCAAGGAGTAAGAGTACATTCCGTACAATACCAGTGAAAAAACCAGCCAGGCGCAGTAAGGGAAAATGGCAAGAGAAACGAGACCGGCATTTTACGTGGTTATCCCGGAACGCGAAGGTTTAGCCGTGTGCCAGACAAAGGCACCTTTATGTGTCAGTTAAGGTCCTGAGCATTGGTCCGTTGGCCCCGGGAATCAAACACACGACCTACCGCTCTGCAGCCAGGCGCTCTACCTACTGAGCTAATCCTGCTGGGATCAGGAACTACTCCGCTACCTTTCGATTGACAGGTATCGGTGTTAGGCCCCAGTTGTTCAAAAGGTGGATAGCGCTATCCAGCGGATAAATTTCTATCCACTGGATAGTGCAGCTGGTTTCCCTAATACTTATCAGCTGGATAGAGATTTATCCGATGGATAGCGCTATCCACCTTTTTGACTACTGGGGCCTGGTTGCTAAGTGGATTGAAATGTGTTGGCTGCCGTTGACGGGTTAAGTGTCGACTCTTACTGAAGAGAACTAAGGCGTCGTTCAGACGCCGTACTTTTCATGCGCCAAACCTAATTTAATAAGTTCGAATTTGGGACGACATTGGCTCGACATCTGATTCAAACGGCGCACCGTGTCAGGAGCACCCAACGACGGTTTCCTCCTAAATACATTGAAAACACTTTTAAAGTTATCCAGAGTACGTTTAGACCCGCTAGAAATGCATTCTAAGCGGCGCTAGAAAATTTGTTCCTGTTCGGTAACCCTGGGGAACTTGAGTCTTTTCGAAATTACAAGGGCGTTAGTATTATTTTTCCGAAAATTTTAGAGGCAATTTGAATTATTACGAAAATGAGAATTTTTCTGATCTCTCTCTTCATCACAATTTTTGTTATCCGAAAGTTTTTAGCCCCTTTTTTGTATGAAAAATAGCCTAACCTGGGGATGAAATGTGAAAAATTAAACTTCAGAAAATCGTAGGGAATTTATTAGATAAGCTTCGAAAATTGCACATTGATCAATTTTTAGCCGTCCCCGAGAAACAGAAAATTCTAGGCAATATTTGCTTCTCCGAACATATATTTCAGTCATTGGGTGCCCCTGCCGTGTGTCGAGCCTAGGGTTGATTTCCACTGTCGCGTAATTTTTCCGTGCGAACGCACGTAAAATTTACGCGCGTAAATGAAATAGAGGCAATGTACGAAAGGCCACGCGTAAACGTGAAAGTTGAGCGAGGTTCAACTTTTACATTTATGCGTGACCTTCCATATATTGTCTCTATTTCATTCACGAGCGTAAAATTTACATGCGTACGCATGTAAAAATTACGCGACAGTGGAAATCAATCTTAAGTCAAGTTCGACAGACTCTGTCGAACTTAACGCTTTTGCCGCACCAAACTAAAACTGCCGTACCAAATTCGATTCAGACACCGCTCTTTTGCCTTACTTAATACATCAGTTAGGTTGGGCACATGAGTGGAGGGGCGTCTGAACCGGGCCTAACTCGTAGGCCCGAGAGATTATAAAACGAGTGCTGACATAAGTATTTATTACAGACTCGCTAAGTACTATTACATCCATTACTTGTTTTTGAATAGCACTTACTTGTAAGGCATAGTGATTCCAAGACAGTTGCTGTTAGAAATGAACCTCTGCAGATTCTGAAGTGAATTGTTCTTTTGTAAGGCGACAGAATCATTCCACCATGCAGTTTGGTACACCGCTGCACCACGAAAAGCTGGCACACTTACAATGGACTTAAAAATATCATGATTGGTGATGTTTTGCATGACGTTACCTTTTATTTTCTTCAGAGCTTCTGGTCCAGCTGTAAGGACCATTTTATTTGCTTGAACGGTAAAGTTCGAGGTGAGAAGGATAAAATTATTTCCTTCATTGCTGACAGAGGTAACTGTCTCTTGACGGTAAATTGTTCCATTTAGCTTTCGCACTCTTGAAATAAGATTTTCAACAAACGTTGAAATTCCTCTTTTAGGCCTGAAATCGTGGTCCCTCGTTTCATCTAAATATTGAAGCGTTATTTTGAGGTATTCTATGTAGCTTTTTGGGTTTATCTTTTCTATGTAGTCACCTTTTAAGCCGTATGCATCTGTCATCCATTTGGCTCCTTCAGGGGACAGTAACGTGGATAGGAATCTTCCTGCCGTTGGAAGATCACTAACATTTCCACGATCTGCCTTAGTAACAAAGCTCGTCGTTTCCAAAAGTGTCATGTTGTCCGTTGGCGTACGGTAAAGCAACGTTGGAAATGCTCCTGATTTCAAGGAATCGAAACTGTCTACAAATACTCCACGATCTTCAACTCGATGAACTTTTCTTGTGTCCCAGTCGTCAGGGTCATTGCATAGGTTAAGTTCATGGCAAAGAGTACTGAAAGCAATGAAGGGGTTTTATTGAACTAAGCTGTTACTCTCAACTTCAGTCATGGCTACAGACACTTTTTTTTATAAAACAAAGGTATAGCCTGTACAACGGAAGAGAGATTGTAACAACATTGAACGAACAAGCAGGAAAACCTGCAAAAGATCCTATTTTGATACTCAAAAGAATTACCAAAAGCGAATTTAGTCATGTCGAGAAAAAGTACCACCCCCACCCCCCTGCAGCCTTCTCGATGGTAAAATTCAAACAGCCTGGGGAGAGGGAATTGTGAAGCACGAGGTCTGAACAGATGTTTAATTTATATTCCTCCCTGGTTTACAAAGCTTTGATCATTCTCATGACCCTTGCAGCAAATCAATACGTTAAAAACAGAGACTTCAGTAACCATATAAGCACTGTCTGGTTCAGTTGTATCAGGGTACAGTAACCATGGCAACGCGGCAAAAACATACAGCGGCACTAATACAAAAATAACCCTTTTGCTCAGTGATTTTAGCTGGCAAATTGCTATCGTCATTCATTTATTTCTAGTATCTTGGCGTAATACAAAAGCCATGCAGCGAAAAACACTGACCAATATCCGCATCGCAACACAATACCGGAAAGCGAGTTTTAGGAGTTACATTAAAAAGCAATTCCTGAGCATGTTAATAGTAAACCTTACAAAATGACGACGGAACACGAGGCTAACTTGATCTTAACTCAGTCTTTCTCCTACCTTTCATCGTTTTCGGCATAAAGGTGCCACTCTCCAAGCCCTGCAATGATATTTAAGAGTTGGTTACTTCTTTGCCTTGAGGTCTTTTGGAGGGAGAGAGACTGCTCCTGTTTGGCTCCTCCAGGGTTGAGTAGCGAGAGAGATCTCATTTCGTTAAAGGGTTCAGCGCTGGGGAGCGACGAGAAGCGTTCTTGCTAAAGCAGCCCATGCAATTTGTGGAGCAAAAACAATTTTGCCTTGAAGCTCAGTATAGTATTTGCGGCCATTTTGCTTAAAAATGGACAATTTTTCATTAAAATCTGCGCAGCAAGGAACGGTTTCCTTTACAGTTCTCAGTTAATTAACCTCTGACCAGGCTCTCCACACTAACATTCCAACGCTCCCATAATACTTGAGGATGTACAGTTTACGGGACACGAGCCCTAAGGAAATTAAATGCTTCCCTGGCACTTTCCTGTTACTATCAGTGGAAGAGTTGATCTTAGTTTACAGTATATTAACAATTGCAGAAGCGTGTGTATTCGGCATTTTCTTTCGCTGTTGTTGTGCTACCAAGAGCCTTAAAGAGGAAATTAAATCAGTATACTCTTTCATTTAAAGAGCCTCCCTTTTAGCAGCGAAGTCCACGTGAATTTCTGTAACATATGAGCAGAAGTTATCGTGTTCTGTATCTAAGTTGTACCAGTGCTCCATGACACACTGCACCTGCTATTGATGAGCTAGGCAAAGAAGAAACTGAGAAATCGAATGTGATTGTCCATATAAGCCTTTAACGCAGTTTAAAAGAACATTTTTCCAGACATGGCCCCAGTTGTTCAATAGGTGGATAGCGCCATGGTGACCTATTTAGAAATAGGTAACCTATCGCGGTAGGTGACCTATTTAGAAATAGGTAACCTATCGCGGTAGGTGACCTATTTAGAAATAGGTAACCTATCGCGGTAGGTGACCTATAATCTTTATCCATAGGATAGCGCAATTAGTTTCCCTAATACTTTCCCGATGGTTAGTGATTTATCCAGTGGATAGCACTATCCGACTTTTGAACAACAGGACCCTGATTATAAGGTACAACTTGCAAAAGACAAAAGGGGTTTTCATTTCAATGCATAAACTGAATTATCCTTATTATCAAACTGAAAACTAACGGTGGACTTCAAAAAGCTAGAAGACAAAGATAAACCAACCTATTGTGACGTTAGGAGCGTCGGCAAAACGGTGATCAAATATTTTCCCTCCAAGACGATTTTCTTTCTCCAAAATACAAACATTAGTTTCGTTACTGTTTTTAAGGAGCTCATATGCTGTCAACAGCCCAGAGATGCCTGAAAACGTAAAGAGATTCTTGTAAAAAGTCCCGTAAACACTGCAATCACGAAAGAGTCACTGCGTGAAGGGACTTTAAGATTCAATGACGTGATGGCAACGAGAATGTCGCTGAAAAAGTGAATTTTCAGTCTACAGCAATTATTCCTACCCACAGTGGAACCTCTATATAACGAAGTCCTCGGTATGACGGACGATTTTCTTCAGCCCGAACAAAATTACAATAAAATGTATGGAACAGAACCTCGTTATAAAGAACACAATCCATAAGCGCACATGTAAAATTTACCTCGATGTAACGGATAAATGTCACCATTTGATCAAAAACGAATGCCAAACAGACCAACAAGGATAAAATTTATGTGTACAGTAGCCTGTTCTTGAGTTTCTTGTGCCGTAGCTATGTATAGGGAACTGAAATGTTACCACAGCCGATGATTTTTCAGATCTGGAGATGCTGGGTTTTGTAAGTTAATTATTAACTATACCTCGATCCCGGGTGGGAGGTGGTACTCCCTTATATAAGCCATATTGGTATTTACCGCCCCATCGGGTAGGGTTTTTGCCCCGTTTTGGTCTGAAAACGGATATACACTTGGCCCATTTTGGTCTGGAATCGGGTGTAGTTTTCGAGGGAACTACGGAAGTGTATGAACGTATTTCTCGTTTCAATTCCAAATTAGCCTGTGCCAGGCTCTCAGATAGTATAGTGGGAACGTATTAAAACGAGCAAAGCGAAAACAAGACCAGCACTCGGAGCCTGGAACAGGCTAATTCCAAATGAGTAAGAAAGAAAGAGAAATATGCAAATTTGAAATGGATTTGAATAATTAACCCTAACCGTAACCCTAACCGTAACCCTAATTTTTGTTTGCCTAATCTAAGTACTGATAACATAATTTCTGCCTAAAGACCAGGTCTGAAAACGAGTACGGATTTTAGAGGTCTGGTCTGAAAACGGGTGTAGAAAATTACATTTTTTTATCTGAAATCGGGTCAGGCTTTGAAGAACCGGGCGGCACACCCCACGAAGAATTCCCAGGAGTACCCCCCCGGAGTATATTAAAGATGAAACAACAACAACATGATATTAATTTGAGGAGGACTCGGAAAAAAAATCCGAGTCCCAGATGGGATTTGAACCCACGACCCTCCTTGATCTAGTCGGATGCTCTAACCACTTGAGCTACTGGAGACTCTATGGTGAGCAAGGGCCAATTTGTGGGTCTCGACTGGAACCGCATCACGCGGCTACACAGCCAAGTAATGATAGCCACACAAGAGCAATGATACCCCCCCGGACCTCGATATAACGAACATTTTGGTAGTTTTCCGGAAAATTCGTTAAATGGAAGTGTTCGATATAACGAACCTTCGATTTAACGAACAAATTTCCCCAGTCCCTTGGCACTTCGTTAAATCGAGGTTCCATTGCACTTTCTGTTCAAATGTAGACGAAGCTGAATTTCAAGTGACTATATCCAGGAAGAAAATTAAAATTTCGTTGTTCATGCTTGTTTGCGTCCTCCATAAAAAGCGAAATAAGGAATTTTCACGTCGTAGTCGTTCAAAAGCGGGAAAGGAATGAACAAAAAAATGTGATGCATGTGATGCACATGGGAAGTTACGTTCTGGTTGCCGTCCGCGTCGTTTGATCTTAAAGTCCTCACAATAAAGTGTCTAACTACATCGGCAGTCTCATTGATTTCATCTCCTGTTTAATCATCTCTACTTGTAAATCGTTGTTTTCTTATCCAATAAATTATGTCTTTTTTTTATTTATTTTGTTACATTAGAAATTCAGTAAAAGGGCTTTAATATTAAGCCAACAGTACATACATACATACATACATACTTTATTGACTTTCCCAAGGGGCTTTTCAAAGACAATACATGATCCTATTTACAATTAAGAAATGTTTTAAAATATATATAAAATTACAATTCAACAGTGCCGAATTATCTGCGGAAGGTAATTCCGTATTGATTGTTTATTACGTAGCTACCCAACAAACTCTTTTCTAACTTAAAACACAATGACGCTATCAAGGAATCTTATTTTTGTGCTTTTAGGTTAGCATGTGATCAAATTCTTTAAAGTGTCTTATTGAGGTAATTGTTAAGCGGAGGTGTCTGGCAATAGATGCAGTGAATGTTAATTCATCTGAATTCTTCGACGTGCTCATCCTTTAAACAGGACTTTCTAATTTTCCAAAAGAAGAGTCTAGATAATTCTCAGTCAAACATCTTTCTCCTTAGTAATACAAGAAGTCTTGTAAGAGAACGTACCTCCCCCAACTATAGCTACATCACACTGAATGGGTATCCTGTTATCAGGCGGAAGGGTGGTTGGAGTTACTGTGGTCTCTAAGGGCTGGCAAGTGCCTTCTTTAGTAGTTCTTCCCGTCGGACCTTCCGGCGTAGATGACGTAGGTTCTGTACCTACTGTGAAAAGACATAAATCAGTACTTTTTTGTTTTAGTGTTTGTGTGCTTTCTCATGCCGACAGGACACGCAAACAACAACATCAACAACAACAAAGAAAAAAAAGGAGTTAACTAACTAGTTCCAGTTTGACACTAATGTTAAATCACCCTTATTCTTGCTTTTTAGACCCCCCCTTCAGTTCGTTCATTTAAACCGCACCATTGACCACGAAAAGTATCCGGCTTCCTTCGTTTACGAACAACATCCCCTATTGACGTCATCAAGGATTAAGAAAGACAAACAGCCCATATCTAAGATTCTTTTACATCACGAGTGAAAGGAAGAGCATACATAATATAAACTGAACAAAGGGATAGACAATATGTGAATGTTTTTCATCAGCCGAGGCACTAAATGGATTGGACCTAAAGACTCTCTCAAAGAGACGACACTTCCATCGCTGTGTTATGATGCAAAAATATCTGTCTGGGGAAATTGATTTTGAATTTGACATCAGACACAATTGTAGTTTTCATTATTATCAAACCCGCAGATGTAATGATTTACACCTTCCTCCTGTGCGCACCAATTGGGGCAAGGAAACGTTCATTTTCCAAGCCTCTGAGGACATTAAAAACGGCAAATCATTGTCATACTTTAAGGGAAAGCTTAAAACTTTCTAAACAATGCCCTATATAATTGTTAAACGATTTCAAAATTAGTTTTATATGTAAATGTCAATTTTCATCTGTTTTCTTAGTTTTTAATTTTTAAAGTAGGTGGTTTTATTTTTTTGTCATTTTATCATTTATGATTTGCAGGGCCCCGCTGAAAACCGCTAAGGCGAGTGGGCTCCCTGGATAAATATTATTACTATTATTATTAATATTATTAAATACACTCTAATTATGATCCGTGTGAGTTCTAGAAAGGAGTTAAGGTATATTGAACTTCCTATGCTTTGAGATCTCCAAATACATTCTCAAGTACGTGATCACTCCCAGCAAACAAACACCGTTTTAAATATGTTAGCACCATTGCATAACTCAAATATTGACAAATGATTGATTTTCTGTTAATTTGTACTGTCAAAAGTAGGTTAAGTTTCAAAAGTAGGTTGAGTTTGTACTGTGTTTCAACGTCACAATAACAATAAGCGAAAATATTTACTATCACTGGGTGATTCCATAAAAACGCACAGTGTAACGAGAAACGAAAACTATTTCCCACTTTTCCGGTCTTGCTCAATTCTGTCAGTGAGTGGGTCACGTAAGTGACTTTAAAAACAAAAGATTTCAACAAAAATAAACATTTTATTAAAAACAGATTTTCTTTTCCACGGTCCTTGACTGGCATGTAAGAGATCTTCCGAGCTTTTAGCTGACATTTTTATGACGTTTCAGAATATGATCCAATAATCATTTGAATTCTTAAAGATCCATGAACACGGTAACATTTATCGAACAAAATACGTCTTAACTCCATTAACCGGTAATAAGCTAAAAGAGATCTTAAACTGACCGAGGAAAAGATTGTTGTTAAACAACGTGTCCATTGACTACTCAAAATGGTGTACCAAATACAGATGATATTTGAACTCTAATAGTACAGTCTGACGAATGACGCCTTTTATACGTTTTTAACTTTTTTTAAATAACACAGGTCGCTCTAGCTACTGGCCTGGGGCATTTCTTTTAACTTCAGTTTCTTTAATTTTACAATCATTTTGAAAAAAGCTCTAAGTAGTAGCTACAAAGTTCTCTTCACCTCCGGCATTTTTCTAAGCTAAAACCTTAATTCACTTCTCTCTCAGTTTCTTTGACCTTGAAAAAAAATGTCACGCTACCCGGGAGAAAAAATGATTAGGTGCAAATTGCGCTGTGGTCGAACGTGCTTTCTTTTTAGTGAGACAGGTTAGGGTTAGGGTAAGGGTTACTCTGAGTTAAAAGCAAATTAAGTGGTTGTAATCGCCAGAATAAGGCTGAAAAGAAACGCTAGTGATATATCTGTACTTGGTAAAAACTGGATAAAATAACGCGAACTGATAAGGTCTCTTGTCTGATCAAGCTTGCTTTTCCATTAGTCAACAGTTTTAAACTACTAATTCTCTTTTATTTGAAATTTATTTGATATTTCTCACTTCCTGGACACACTGTGGACAGCTTATATCAGCAAACAAAATCTTCGAAGAAGGGAACTTCTATAAAACTATATATTATATCTGTAATAGTTTTGGAAGGTAGCTGTCCCATAGACTTCGCTTTCACCAGCTTTAACTATGTTTCTCAATAAGGAAATGAGTAGATTACCTCTAGGAATCTTGTTGGTTGGATTTTCTGCTTTGGATTCACTCTTGGAGTACTTCAGGTTTGTATTGCCTGGACCAAACATGGCGATCAGAAGACCCATTACAGCAATGATAAACGCTAAAACGAGCAGAAACACAAGAATTTGCCATAGTCGGAACGTGCATTGTCTGTGAAAACAGTCACAACAAGAAAACTTTTTTTTAGCGTAGTGTTGCTGGGTTGGCAAATCATAGCCTTCAGAAATTGTGAGAGTCGTTTGGCTGTCCATCGGAGTCA